TCACTACTGACTGTTGGCGCCTCGCCCTCCTCACTACTGACTGTTGGCGCCTCGCCTTCCTCACTACTGACTGTTGGCGCCTCGCCTTCCTCACTACTGACTGTTGGCGCCTCGCCTTCCTCACTACTGACTGTTGGCGCCTCGCCTTCCTCACTAGTGACTGTTGGCGCCTCGCCTTCCCCACTACTGACTGCTGCCGCCTCGCCCTCCTCACTACTGACTGCTGGCGCCTCGCCTTCCTCACTACTGACTGTTGGCGCCTCGCCTTCCTCACTACTGACTGTTGGCGCCTCGCCTTCCTCACTACTGACTGTTGGCGCCTCGCCTTCCTCACTACTGACTGTTGGCGCCTCGCCTTCCTCACTACTGACTGTTGGCGCCTCGCCTTCCTCACTACTGACTGTTGGCGCCTCGCCTTCCTCCCACGTCACTACACCACACTCTAGAGGGGCTCTACGGGCTCCTGGTGCGTCACGGGGGGCTCTACGGGGTCCCGGTGCGTCACGAGCGGCTCTACGGGCTCTTGGTGCGTCACGAGCGGCTCTACGGGCTCTTGGTGCGTCACGAGCGGCTCTACGGGCTCTTGGTGCGTCACGAGCGGCTCTACGGGCTCCTGGTGTGTCACGAGTGGCTCTCCGGGCTCCTGGTGCGTCACGGGGGGCTCTACGGGCTCCTGGTGCGTCACGAGCGGCTCTACGGGCTCCTGGTGCGTCACGAGCGGCTCTACGGGCTCCTGGTGTGTCACGAGTGGCTCTCCGGGCTCCTGGTGCGTCACGGGGGGGGGGCTCTACGGGCTCCTGGTGCGTCACGGGGGGCTCTACGGGCTCCTGGTGCGTCACGAGCGGCTCTACGGGCTCCTGGTGTGTCACGGGGGGCTCTACGGGCTCCTGGTGCGTCACGGGGGGCTGTACGGGTTCCTGGTGTGTCACGAGGGGCTCTACGGGCTCCTGGTGTGTCACGGGGGCTCTACGGGCTCCTGGTGTGTCACGGGGGGCTCTACGGGCTCCTGGTGTGTCACAAGGGGCTCTACGGGCTCCTGGTGTGTCACGGGGGCTCTACGGGCTCCTGGTGTGTCACGAGCGGTTCTACGGGCTCCTGGTGTGTCACGAGTGGCTCTCCGGGCTCCTGGTGCGTCACGGGGGGCTCTACGGGCTCCTGGTGCGTCACGAGCGGCTCTACGGGCTCCTGGTGCGTCACGAGCGGCTCTACGGGCTCCTGGTGTGTCACGAGTGGCTCTCCGGGCTCCTGGTGCGTCACGGGGGGGGGGCTCTACGGGCTCCTGGTGCGTCACGGGGGGCTCTACGGGCTCCTGGTGCGTCACGAGCGGCTCTACGGGCTCCTGGTGTGTCACGGGGGGCTCTACGGGCTCCTGGTGCGTCACGGGGGGCTGTACGGGTTCCTGGTGTGTCACGAGGGGCTCTACGGGCTCCTGGTGTGTCACGGGGGCTCTACGGGCTCCTGGTGTGTCACGGGGGGCTCTACGGGCTCCTGGTGTGTCACAAGGGGCTCTACGGGCTCCTGGTGTGTCACGGGGGCTCTACGGGCTCCTGGTGTGTCACGAGCGGTTCTACGGGCTCCTGGTGTGTCACGAGGGGCTCTACGGGCTCCTGGTGCGTCACGAGCGGCTCTACGGGCTCCTGGTGTGTCACGAGGGGCTCTACGGGCTCCCGGTGTTTCACGAGGGGCTCTACGGGCTCCTGGTGCGTCACGAGCGGCTCTACGGGCTCCTGGTGCGTCACGAGCGGCTCTACGGGCTCCTGGTGCGTCACGAGCGGCTCTACGGGCACCTGCTGCGTCACGAGGGGCTCTACGGGCTCCTGGTGCGTCACGAGGGGCTCTACGGGCTCCTGGTGCGTCACGAGCGGCTCTACGGGCTCCTGGTGCGTCACGAGCGGCTCTACGGGCTCCTGGTGCGTCACGGGGGGCTCTACGGGCTCCTGGTGCGTCACGAGGGGCTCTACGGGCTCCTGGTGCGTCAGGAGCGGCTCTACGGGCTCCCGGTGCGTCAGGAGCGGCTCTACGGGCTCCTGGTGCGTCACGAGCGGCTCTACGGGCTCCTGGTGCGTCACGGGGGGCTCTTCGGGCTCATGTTGCGTCACGAGCGGCTCTACGGGCTCCTGGTGCGTCAGGAGCGGCTCTACGGGCTCCTGGTGCGTCACGGGGGGCTCTACGGGCTCCTGCTGCATCGCGGGGGGCTCTACGGGCTCCTGGTGTGTCACGAGGGGCTCTACGGGCTCCTGCTACGTCACGAGCGGTTCTACGGGCTCCTGGTGTGTCACGGGGGGCTCTACGGGCTCCCGGTGTGTCACGAGGGGTTCTACGGGCTCCTGGTGCGTCACGGGGGGCTCTACGGGCTCCTGGTGCGTCACGGGGGGCTCTACGGGCTCCTGGTGTGTCACGAGTGGCTCTACGGGCTCCTGGTGTGTCACGAGGGGCTCTACGGGCTCCTGGTGCGTCACGAGCGGCTCTACGGGCTCCCGGTGTGTCACGAGGGGCTCTACGGGCTCCCGGTGTGTCACGAGGGGCTCTACGGGCTCCCGGTGTGTCACGAGGGGCTCTACGGGCTCCTGGTGCGTCACGGGGGGCTCTACGGGCTCCTGGTGCGTCACGAGCGGCTCTACGGGCTCCTGGTGCGTCACGAGCGGCTCTACGGGCTCCTGCTGCGTCACGAGGGGCTCTACGGGCTCCTGCTGCGTCACGAGGGGCTCTACGGGCTTCTGGTGCGTCACGAGCGGCTCTACGGGCTCCTGGTGCGTCACGAGCGGCTCTACGGGCTCCTGGTGCGTCACGAGCGGCTCTACGGGCTCCTGGTGCATCACGGGGGGCTCTACGGGCTCCTGGTGCGTCATGAGGGGCTCTACGGGCTCCTGGTGCGTCACGAGCGGCTCTACGGGCTCCCGGTGCGTCAGGAGCGGCTCTACGGGCTCCTGGTGCGTCACGAGCGGCTCTACGGGCTCCTGGTGCGTCACGGGGGGCTCTTCGGGCTCATGTTGCGTCACGAGCGGCTCTACGGGCTCCTGGTGCGTCAGGAGCGGCTCTACGGGCTCCTGGTGCGTCACAAGGGGCTCTACGGGCTCCTGGTGCGTCAGGAGCGGCTCTACGGGCTCCTGGTGCGTCACAAGGGGCTCTACGGGCTTCTGGTGCGTCACGAGCGGCTCTACGGGCTCCTGGTGCGTCACGGGGGCTCTACAGGCTCCCGGTGCGTCACGAGCGGCTCTACGGGCTCCTGGTGCGTCACGGGGGGCTCTTCGGGCTCCTGGTGCGTCACGAGGGGCTCTTCGGGCTCCTGTTGCGTCACGAGCGGCTCTACGGGCTCCTGGTGCGTCCCGAGCGGCTCTACGGGCTCCTGGTGCGTCACGAGGGGCTCTACGGGCTCCTGGTGCGTCACGAGCGGCTCTATGGGCTCCTGGTGCGTCACGAGGGGCTCTACGGGCTCCTGGTGCGTCACGAGGGGCTCTACGGGCTCCTGGTGCGTCACGAGCGGCTCTATGGGCTCCTGGTGCGTCACGAGGGGCTCTACGGGCTCCTGGTGCGTCACGAGCGGCTCTACGGGCTCCCGGTGCGTCAGGAGCGGCTCTATGGGCTCCTGGTGCGTCACGAGCGGCTCTACGGGCTCCTGGTGCGTCACGGGGGGCTCTTCGGGCTCCTGTTGCGTCACGAGCGGCTCTACGGGCTCCTGGTGCGTCACAAGGGGCTCAACGGGCTTCTGGTGCGTCACGAGCGGCTCTACGGGCTCCTGGTGCGTCACGGGGGCTCTACGGGCTCCCGGTGCGTCACGAGCGGCTCTACGGGCTCCTGGTGCGTCACGGGGGGCTCTACGGGCTCCTGGTGCGTCACGGGGGGCTCTTCGGGCTCCTGTTGCGTCACGAGCGGCTCTACGGGCTCCTGGTGCGTCACGAGCGGCTGTACGGGCTCCTGGTGCGTCACGGGGGGCTCTACGGGCTCCCGGTGCGTCACGAGCGGCTCTACGGGCTCCTGGTGCGTCACGAGCGGCTCTACGGGCTCCTGGTGCGTCACGAACGGCTCTACGGGCTCCTGTTGCGTCACGAGCGGCTCTACGGGCTCCTGGTGCGTCACGGGGGGCTCTACGGGCTCTTGGTGCGTCACGGGGGGCTCATCTCAGCGGCGCTGGACAGGTTGTAGCGACGGCTTCAAACGTTAATTAAGCACTTAAGGCTGTTAATGGGTATTTCTGGTAATGGGGAGAATGGGTCGACACTCGTGACAATGGGGGTTTCCTTTGTGGAAGACAGGACTCTTGCAAGAGGTCTTGAGCGCCCCTGAGCCAGCGATTGGCCATTCCCAGGGCGCGTCCCACAACACTTGATTAACTCACAATATTCTCAAATGCTTCACTTGCATATAACTGTTCCATGCACGATAGTTCTGAGATAGTTCTGAGTGCCTTGGTTCTTGGGCTGACTCCATCATTGATGATTTCATTATATCTCTGTGTCTAGCTTCAGAGATAAGGACGGTGACGTGCTTATCTCTGAAGCTTGACACAGATATAATGAAATAATCAATGATGGAGTCAGAGTTTGTCTCCTGTGGATTCCTTCCCATATTGGTCTCCGAATGCTTGATAGAACTGATGAGTTGGCCAAGACTTTTGATCGTAGAGAGGGAATTGATTACAACCTTTGAGCAGCCTGAGGGCAGTAATATTCCGGGAATATCAACAAAATCTCGTAGACTTTAGGCACAGTGAAATTCACACCAGTTGCTCCATCTATCATCATTCTATTATGCAGGAAGTACCGCACGTCTATGAGTCATCCAATAATGTTAGCAGACTTCTAGATGTCACCACTGCTAGGCTTAGGCTCGGCTACAAGTACCTCTGGCAGTTTGTAACATCTGCTGATGTAGATCTGACTAAATGTAAACTCTGTCAGCAGAACTATTCGCATACTTTGCGTCATTATATAATGGAATGTGAATATTCGCGGAATTCAGAGATAACACCATCAATAGTGTCCAAGAAATGTGTAAGTACT